CACATTTTCATTGTAAATATCTTATTGATATATATATATATATATAAATAATTAAGCTACCTGACTTGTAGTACTTGCTTTTTGCTTTATCTTTCTTTATAATTTTCTTTTTTGTTATGTACCAAAACCTACTTGGCAATAAACCTGATTCTGTAATCTGTCTTTAGCTGTAAGTCCTCACTGTTCTTGCATATCTCACTGGAAACAGAGTTCACCAGTGGGAAGACTGGTTATCTTTCCCTGCAAGTTTAAACCAGCCAGTTTTGTCATTGTCGTGTTAATTGAAATTCACTGTCATGGTGGTGGCAGTAGCCTTTCTCTGGACAAGATTGTCACTGGGGACAAAGCCAGTTTGAGAATCTGACCTCGCCCAGTACAGGGTCACTCCAGTTTGTACAGGGGGCAGTGAGGTCAGGCCCGTCTGACCAAATCAAAGAGTATCTGTATCGCCGGTGAGTTTCAGCTCGTCTTCATTATTTTAGCGTGTTACCATGCTAACATTTGCTAATTAAAAGTACAGCTGAGGCCGATGGGGATGTCGTTAGTTGTCCAGGTATTAATGCAGAGTATTGGACAAATTTTAGTCTATGCAGATATACGGCATATATCCACTTATTTTTCTGTCAGCATTATGTAAACCTACTTCTAAATCCCCTCTTACGCGCATCATTTATTAGTGTGCTGAAAGCCAATTTTCTTTCCTAGGACGGTGAAGGCCTTGTATTGGTTGGGTTGGTTAGCTTCAGGCATAAGGAGTGAAATGTTAAAAATAAACAGATCTCTGGGTGAAACACCATGTTTGCCTCATGTTGAATAATATATTATTCATGCATTAGGCCACGCATTAGTAGGACAACTAATAATATAATGTTAATTTGATAATGGTGGTTGATACACTGTCTGTTCCAAGGAACAAACTACTGACCCATAGACTACTTGCAAGGTGATGTGGAGGAGATTCCTCTTGTTTTCCTAAACCTCACTGACACTTTGAGAGAGATCAGGCCATAACAACCTTCACAATTGTCAGACGTTGTTTAGCTTCTATCATGACTGTTTGTGTCTAGATGGAGCCACTGCTATCATCTGTAGCAGGGGTACCCAGAGTCTGATAGATAAGGGGGTACAAGGAAAGCCTATTGTTCAAATCTAATCGTTGTCAAGGATGAGCTAAGTAGGGGAAAGGACAAGACATATGTAATGTTAATGAGTGAGGTTGGTAAGAACATGTGACAGTGCAGATTTTGGTGACCAATAGCATCTTTAAACATGACTGTTTAGGATAAAGTTTAACCTTATATGGAGCGTGGAGCTGATTCACATGCTAACTGTGTATTGCTCATCAATTTGGCTCCATGGTCTCAGCCTATAGTCTGTGGGCCAGTAATAATTGCAAAATTTGTGTCTCTTCTTTGGCTAATGTTAATTTCATAATGATCCTTCTCCCTGAAGACAAGCAGCAGATGTTAAGTGACAATGTGCAAATACTACTGGCCCATGTTTTGGGTGAACTAAATATGCAAGAGTAGTCATACATATCAATGTTTGTAACACAGGGCATTTATCCCTTGCTGGACTGGATCATCAAAGTCTCTAGGATTCATCATCTGGCAATATGTGAAGTAGATTTCACATAGATTTTCACATAAATCAACAGTTGTTGTGATATTTCAGTCTGGATGTAAGTGGTGGGCCCACATTCATTCTGTTAATTAATCTATGAACTTTACCAGATATTATGAAGTGACACCAGTAGATACAATGTCTATTTCCTTTATTGTGTCTGTCTCACAAAAGTTTGTTTAGGAGAATTAAGCCTATTCTTGAGTTTTATATCCATCACTCCTCTGGACTAGAAGTATTAAAAACTGATGTAATGTGTCATATAAATATATATTCAGACACAGGGGTGGTTTAATATTATAATTATTTCAACACAGAATTATGAGGACTGCAATTACTTTTAACACCGACAAGATTATGAACTTTTATGTTTATGCATGTCTCCTAAACTATTGATGTTGACATCAATAACCTCCTCTCCTCTCCTCTCCTCTCCTCCTCCCCTCTCCTCTCTCCTCCTCTCCTCTCTCCTCCTCTCTCCCCTCTCCTCTCTCTCCTCTCTCTCCTCTCTCTCCTCTCCTCTCCTCTCCTCTCTCTCTCCTC